AGGAGCACCATGTATACTGAGCCATGAAGCCCAGTTACTTGTATAAGGATCCTGTTTTATCCCTGATAACATCTTTACAAAGTAATCTGCATTATATTCAATGCTGGGTGTCTTCCAATAATAAAAGAAAACAAAGAGAAGTATCCAACTGGTTGCTCCCAGTTTGGCCAAAGGAAACAGTACATCAAGAACTGTCTCACTAATACAAACAGGGAAAAAATTCCAATCTTTAGAATACTGTATAGTTAGTATTTTTTAAAATATTTAAAAGCTATATTTTAGTAAAGAAATCAAACTATTTTTTGTAGCACACTAAAAGATATTTGTATTTCGGAGACGGCATCTAGACCCAAACTGAAACAAGAAGGAATCCTGAGTTTCTCCTTTATATCAGGTTCTGATATTGGCAATATACAAGGAGGTAGTGTAGGTTGTAGGCATCCTCACATTTGGCAGCCACCATTTCTAGCTACTCGTATGTTCCTGTTTCAGTAAATGTATGGCATGGCCATCTATTTTCCAACAAAATGCCTCTGACAAGTGCACAGCATGGAATTTTATTTTTTTTTTAAAGCTGATTTCTGACAAGTCTGATGGCAAGAGAGTACCAACATCCTACATATTTTTGGATCAAAAACAACATGAGAGGAAAACAGTTAAATCTGCATTTGTTTGTAATCTTTCTAGTCAGGGTTTTGCTACTCCTGTTACCAAATCATTAACACCGGAAGAAAGAAAACATACTATATCTGTTTGTCCTTCTTATCATCCTGCCTCTGTTCTCTCCCCCTGACACCCTTGTCATCTGCAGTGTATGAAAGTTATTGACATATCTGGGATATCAGGGTTTGAATTTAGCTTACATTTCTTAACAGAAACTGTCCATTCATTTTGTCTTCTCTGTTTGTTGATTTTTTTTACCACATATACATAGTGATGTATCTTCTCTTATTCTCCTTCAATTCAAATTCTCCTACTTAGCTATAACTCAGAGAGACTTTTCTGTTCTCTCTCCAGGTCTGTATGCTCATTGTAAAAATAATGATCACTGTAAACTTGTTCTTCTGTCTTTCCACAGAAAAAAATTGCAAGGTTTTCAACACAGCATATTACTGTGAAGCAAATGAGTAATACACACTAAAAATCACAATCCATTTAATTCCCTGCTTCACAGTTCCTTTACCATCGTGTTGGATCATCATACAAAGATGTGATAACAGTGTCAATAGATCTTAGAATGCAAGAGAAGAAAAAGAGAAAAAACTGATAGGTTTTGTGAATGACAATCTTGGAAGGAGCTAGTCAAAAATTACCACTAGTTGATTGGCTTCAAGAATTCTGGGTTTGGTTTTCTTGATGTTGTGGTTGTTGTTGGTAGTAGTGGTTATGATGGTGGTGGTGATGATCGATTAATTTGTTTCTGAAATTCTGGTGAGATGCTAGAACTCAAAGCATGAATAAATGTTAAGGAAAAAAATGTCTTAAGCTAAATCCTTCACCCTCCACACTCAAGTGGTCCTGTTGACTTCATCAGGTCTGCCCATGGAGTAAGCTATACTGTATTTGATCCAGTATGAATACAAATGTATCTTACTGACTGCATTAAGTAAAATATTTCCTTATTTATTAGTTTCAATATGCAAAGGTTCACAGTAGTCTTCCGTTTAGACATCTGAGACTGACATTTTATGTTCTGGAGTCCAAAAGCACCATAAAGCTGAAAGGAAGTGGACCAAGCTAGACCTCATATTTTAGGGAAACTGAGTTTTGTGCAGTTATAGCATAGAAATTTTTTTTCCAATTTGCTCTGGTGCCCATGAATCTTTTAGTGAACTGTAACCTAAATTTTGAGTTTGCAACTTAATCTGAAAACTATGCTGCTTTTTTTAGTTTCTTTCTGGGGGCAGAGAAAGGCAATTCAGGTTTCACCAAATATTTGATGGCTTATTCCATGGCTTCAACTGAAAAAAGTTGGAGACTGAAATCCCAAATAGCAAAAAAAAAAAAGAACGGGGGTGGAGCAAAATTTGGAAAATAAAAGAGTTTTAGAAATTAGTAAAAATATATATACACACTCAAACATATATATGTGCACGCACACTCACCTATGTGTGTACAAGAAGAATTAAATTCATCCCAAGTGTTAATCCTAAAAAGGGGATGGAGGTCCAGTAGAAGGAGTTTGGCTTTGGAATATTTTTGATATCATGAATATTCACCCTGTGTTCATAGCAACATGAACAGAGCTTCCCAGTAAAGATTAAACACTTTCAGTCAAATGCAGACCAACAGACCTTTCTACAACTAATGCGGTGCTTTTTTTATTATTCTTGCTGTACCTCAGTGTTCGTTATTTAAAAATTGACTGAAATATACTACAAATCTGGGATAGGTTTTCCAGTTATCACAAGGTCCAAAAGATCAGCTTGTTACTTCCTATCTAGTGAGTCATGTAGTCCCTTTGTTCTTGTAGCCAAACAGATGCCTGTAGGTAGTAGATATTAGGTATAGTAAATATTGTATCCTAGGCCGAATTCCCTGCAGCTTCCAATTTATCTAACAGAAATGTCTATTATGGTTTTGTTAAATACATCATACAAGACAATGGCAGGAAAGGTCCTCATGGTTAGACTGATTTTGCTTCTATTGACAGAAAAATGTCACATGATACTCAGGCTGCGCTTTCTATTCAGTCATATCAGTATAGAGGAATGTCAATAAAATCACTTTGTTATGGCATTGTGTGTACTGTTTATTAAAAATAATTTATTTTGTAGAGGATGCATTTTATCCTAACAGGGCAAATTCATCCTTGGTGGAACTTCATTGACTTGTGGAGGTGTGTTCGCAATCATCACAGCTAGATCTGGTCTGTTATCAACATAGCATTTGGGCAGTTTCAGTGTTCCTTTTCCTTCTTTCACTGTTGTGCTTTAAGCCCAGATCCTTTCATGCATAATACCAAAAGTTGAACTACACACATGTTTGAGGGTTGCAGTAGCTTCAGTGGCCTATAGATATGCACTGGAGTACATATACACAATCAAAATGCTCAGGCTTTGTGAAGACCAGCTGAAGGTCAAACTTGCCCTGAATAACATTTAACTTTGGTTTATGTTACAGAAATTTTACTGACAGATGACAAAAGCCATACACTTGCATGTCTCTCTCTCTCTTAAGCATAATTTCTTGTATTGCTCTCTTCTAAGCATAATTGCTTCTAAGTATAATTGACCACAGTGGGTAGATGATTGAATAGCACATGCTGGGGCTGAGGATAACTGTTGACACCAACTAGATGGATTCTCTGGGACTCATGCCATAATATGTATATTTCTCAGGTTTTCAAAATTGTGGTATCACAGTCACATTTTATGAATGTGACATGTGCTACTGTGGAATAAAGAATGCATACCTTAAATATGCAGTCACTATGGAGGCAGTGTTTCCAAACTGAGGAAATGTGAACACATGGAAGGGTCCCCTGAGAAAAATGATCAATGCTGCATTGGTCACAACATTTAGAATTAGGTCAAACAAAATATTAACATGCATCCTATTGACAAGAAGATGCATGTAGGTGATGGTGAAAACTGGCGAGGCCCTTCCTGAGCATGAGAGAGACAAATCCTCTTTCAGGAGGTCCTGTTTTGAGCACAGCCCAGCCAGGCCTAAAAATCAAACCTTGAATCTCTGCTTTTGAAGATCAAGACCTGCATACCACCTCCTTCACTAATATTGAAATACATGAGGAGTAGCAAACTCAGAACCCAGGTAGCAGATCTGCCACAGCAGCTGAAGAGGCCATGGTGAGAAATTGTTTTGAGGGAGGAAAAAGTGAATAATCAGTATAGGTGGATTAACGCATGGGCCCAGGCCTAGGGCCCCTGCCAGTCAGGAGCCCCTGGATGTCTGGGTTCCCTCAGGAAACGGTGAGTTTCCCCTTGCAGGTGGGCAGCATTGCAGCCTGCAAGGGGTCCTGCTTGGGGCTGCCATGTGCATGGCCAGGAATGCAACTGGGCAGCATGGAGACCAGCACCCTGCAGGTAAGTCTATGGGGAGGGAAGGGGCATAGGGATGCAGATTGAGGCCCCCAGGCTGCACAGTGAGGGAGGGAGTCGGACAGAGGTAAGGGCAGGGGCTGGGTGGGTGCTGCCCAGCCAAGGCGATGCATGGGACCTAGGGCCAGGGCAGGGAGCAGGAAGGAGCTATGGGCAGCTCATCCAGAGGATGCAGGGGGGAAGAAGGGGGTGGCTGTCAGTCAACACATGCACCCTCTGGGGGAGGCATGGGGGGCATGTGCCCCCCTGATTTGTGGGATGGATATGGGCTGCTTGCTGTGGGCTTGGGGTTCTCCACTCTGCTGCCTTTGCCTTGGGAGCCCTGCACTGGCTGCATGCCCCCTGCCCACCAGGCAGCAGTGGGGATGGTGAATTGTACCTCCCGCTGCTGGGCGGGCAGGGGAAGCACAGCCAGTGTGGGGCCAAAAGGCAAAGGCAGCAGGGTGGAGAACCCCGAGCCCACAGCAGGCAGCATGGATGACTGGTGCCTCCCGAGTCTGGAGGGGGCACCAGATTGCCAATGGGGGAGGTCCCCCAGCGGCCAATTGCCGAGCCAGCAGTGAAACCAGAAGTGCACTTCTGGTTTTGCGGCTGGCGCTTCCAGGGGGTGCGTGGCCAGTCTCAGGGAGTGCCTGTGCACCCGTATGCACCCTTTACGCAACACCAATAGTGGGCAGCCTGCATCCTCCCTTGCCCCACTTGGCTCCACTCTGGTCATGAGGAGGAGTGGGGGCGGGGAGCAGGGAGGAGAGGCAGCCATGTGCCACCCATCCCCCAGCCTGGCTGGGTCCACCCAGCCTCCCCCACGGGGCACGGAGGCCTGCTCCACCCTTGGTAGGGACAGCACCAGGAGGGGAAGGGAGCCCTCCCCATTATGGAGTCCCTGCTGGGGTG